TCTAGCTAAATTTTCACCAAGACATGCTCTTTGACCATACCCAAATGCCATAAACACGAATCCCCCAAACGTTTCAGGCTTAAATTTCGTGGGTTCTTCCCATATATTGGGATCATGGTGAATTTCGTGGATTCATCAAGATTTGTTTCGTGGTTACCAATTTTACATATCGGGCACTAAGATTGCATTTTTTTTCTTCTTTAAATATTTTCTTCGATAATATCGTGTATAATCTACAACTATAGGACTAATATAAGAGATTACAAATATTTCGAACTACAACTAATCTACATACATATGGTGGGATAAATACTAACACAAAGTTTAGAGACTCACACTTTGATAAGTATTGAATTCAAGATCTCCAAATTCTAAAACCTCAACTTTGTAGATCAACGCCTCATCCACTTTTTTTTATTATTATTATTAAATGTAGAAACAAGGGATAGCATGAAAATTTCTAATCTTTTGGTGTGCGTATGGTTTCCATCCATGTAACAAATTAGTTCAAAAGAGGTCCTCAGCACATTTTCGAACCACTGGGGGCAGCCTGACAAAGAGCTTTGACAACTACAAACACTCAAAGGAGTTTACGGCAAACTTTTTTGCATTTACTTATTATGATCGCATTCCTTATTTTTCCAAACTACTACTAGTATATAATCTTCTTTTACCTAAAATACATATATATATATATATATATATATATGGCAATTCTTCAAATAAATTAAAACCATAACTTCTCCTCTTCTTCTTCTTCTTCTTCTTCTTCTTTTCGTTCCCCTTTCGGCTGAATCATATGTTTCCTCCTTCGCTACTCCTGACTGCTATTTTATTGTAATATCCTAAGCTCTCTAAAACTTTCCTCCTTTGCTGCAACAAAAAAACATCGTTCGGGACTTGAAAAACCAAAACACAATACAGGAGGATGACATTCTCAAACACATGGATAACAACTCCGAAATGTTGAAAGATAAATCAATCTACTTGATATTTGAATCGAGTTCAGTTTGGTTTGAGTTCATTCGAGTTTGATTTGCTAACTAGTCAAATTAAGATTGAATATCGTTTTATATTCAGTGTGTTTGGATAGCCAAATAATGGCTAGAAATTATTTGCTTACATCACAAATACAATTTCCAACACATCTTTTTATCTTCTCAATCATCTTTTTATTTTACATACATTACATTACAAAAAGTGCTACAGTAATTATTCTAAATAATATTTCAAATAATCTCCTATCCAAACACACTCTTCAATAAATAGCTCGTTCAAATTCGGTAAAATAATCAAACAAACTTGGTTCGATAAATAAATAAATTAAATTTGAATAAAATTACAAACTTGTTAAAATAATCAAATAAACTTGAATACTAGGGTGTTCAGTTTGGTTAGATTCATTTACATCCTTGCTCGGAGGCGTGCATCTGGAACAGAAGCCTACTAGGGCCTGGTTCTCACTTCTCCAGATCCCCTAGACAAGAAAAATTCATCAGATGGATCCCCCCTGCTATAGGTTTCGCCAAGCTCAACACTGATGGTTCAGTCTCTGGACCAACAAACCAGGCAGGAGCTGGCGGCATTATTCGTGACTCAAATGGGATATGGATTGCGGGCTTTGCAAGAAATTTAGGCTTCTGTTCAGTTCCTTCTGCTGAATGTTGGGCTCTTAGAGAAGGCTTACAACTTGCAAAAAAACTCAACATCCACTCTCTCGAAGTGGAGATGGACTCTGCCTTTATATTCTCCTTGTGTAAGTCAAATAATCTTATTTCTCATGAACTTGCACCTATTATTCTTGATTGCAGGGAGCTATTGACTACATTCCAGAAAGTATGTTTTCACCATAATTATAGAGAAGCAAACAAATGTGCAGACATCCTTGCCAACTGGGGAAGAAGCAACACTCAAGACTTCACTTTTTTTGAATTATGTCCTAATTTTGTACTTCCCTTACTTTTGCAAGACTTAAAGGGGGTTTCCACCCCACGGATGACTGTACCTTAATTTGCACTCTGTTGACTTGATTTATTTTTAATGCATCTTTATTTACCAAAAAAAAAAAAAAATGCTTATCCAATGTAATATTCTAAACAATTCCCTGCTGTTTCAGTGATATAGCTTCTAGGGAGCAAGACGCCTTCAGCTTAGGCCACCTTGTATCAGCTGATATCTTGCAATCTTAAATCTTGTGTTAAGATTTCATATAACATGCGATTGACATAGATCCTTGTTTTTATTTGTCTTTTTTCCCCCCCTTGCGGTCGTGAGCTGTCAGATGGAACTGGTAGAGTGGTAGTACTGAAACAGATATGGCGACTTTCAGCATTTTTTTTTATATGAAAATGGAGTTCCGCTCCGCAGACAAATATTTTTTTGACTTAGAGCGAATTGCGCGAAATGTCACTAAGCTATTTCAAAGTGCCGGTTCTGGTCACTAAACTTTTTTATTAGCGCGAAATGTCACTGAACTAGTAAATCTATACCGTTTTAGTCACTCCGTGTATTTGTGCCGTTAGGAGAGACGGAAATCAACTTTTTGAGGGGCAAATTTGTCAGCACAGCCTTTTTCTTGAAGCTTTTACATAATCAATGGTTCCGTATCCGGCAAAGACATAAAGGAGATGGCTGATCTGAATGGCGGCACCATCAAACTTCAACCAAAAAATGCAGGCGAAATTTTTCATAGTTGTAAAAAAGAAGAAAATTCAAATGCTGCTGACTGCTCTGCTGAGTGAGTGACGACTGAGAAGGAAGGAAGAAGAGTAGAGAGAAGAATGGTGGCCGCCGCCTATTCGCCGTCTCATCTCTCTCGCCACCCACACCTCTTCTGTAACTCTCTTTATCCCACTCACCTCCACCAACTCAGAATCATCCCCCATAACGCCCTCGCTTTTCCTCCTCTCAAGCCCCATCCAAAACCTTCCCTCTCTATACCGGCTTCCCAACAACAATCCCCCTCAATTTCCCAAATTCCTCACCGCCCAGATGCTAAAACCATCTCTTCTTCCTCAAAAAGCTATATCTGGGTCAACCCCAACAGCTCCAGGGCATCAAAGCTCAGGCGCAATTCCTACGATTTCAGGTATGCTTCTTTAGTCCAAGCTTCCCAACAATTGGACTCGTGTGACCCTGTAGAAGCTGACGTTATTAGTATTTTGGCTAATTTGGGTGGCAAAGTTGTAGAGCAAGATGCTGCCGTTGTGCTCAATAACATGTCCAACTCTGAAACTGCGCCTTTGGTGCTGAGTTACTTTCTGGAAAGGCTTAAGTTGAAGAAAGAAGTGATTTTGTATAATGTTACCTTCAAGGTGTTTAGAAAATGTAGAGACTTGGACAGAGCCGAGAAATTGTTTACGGATATGATTGAGAGAGGAGTTAAGCCCGATAATGTCACCTTTACATACCTCTGGGGTTGGGAGTGGCGAAAATGACGATGCGGAAAGAGTGAAAAGAATGAGAAATTAAATGTAAAGTTCGGTGGTTTTGTTGCAGAAGTGGGTGGGCATAGAGAGCTCCGTCCGTCGTCGGCCTACACTGGACTTTGATGTCCATTCCAATTCTGTTGGCAGTTGGCACAATAACATTTAACAGATTAATCGCAAATCACTCCACAACTTTACATGGGTTGCAGATAGCACCCAACCCCAACTCCAACTTCAAAATTCTCGTCCATCCCAATTTTTTGGTTGCTGCTGTTGCCTTTTCCTCTTACTTCATCTCCGTAGCATCCAATCTCGATGAGATATGGGACAGGTACAAGGCCAAGCAGCAGCCCCAGAGGACGAAAAGAACCCTTCTTCAGCGAATTCATCTCTTGATTCTTTGATTGCTGGTCCAATACTCCTCCTTTCCACCATAATTAGCTGCGCCAGGCTGTCTTCTTTACCTGAGAAAGCCGTCCAGTGGTTCGAAAAAATGCCGTCTTTTGGGTGTGAACCGGATGAGGTTACCTATTCTGTGATGATTGATGCGTACGGGAAGGCTGGGAATGTAAATATGGTATAGCACTATGGTTGTGGGTGAAGAAGAATGAAGGCATAAATTTTTTAACTATTGTGTAGACGAAATTACCCCTCAAAAAGTTAATTTCCGTCTCTCCTAACGGCACAAATACACGGAGTGACCAAAACGGTATAGATTTACTAGTTCAGTGACATTTCGCGCTAATAAAAAAGTTTAATGATCAGAACCGGCACTTTGAAATAGTTTAGTGACATTTCGCGCAATTCGCTCTTTGACTTATCTTTGGTTGAAAAATGCATGGACCTTGTAACACCTGTTTCCCACGGGCATCGAATGGACTATGCGTACATGCGCACTGGACTAACTAAAGAGTAATTATCAGCAAAACATCACCATTGAACATAATTATCCGATTCAGAGCTAATGTTCAATTTAGCGGCTTTGAAACCTCAAAAACAAGATTTTGATGATGTTTGAAAAATTGTACAATAGGGGTGCTTTTTTGCAGTGGGCAACCTCCTGTTGAATGGGGTTTTTCCAAAGCAGATAAACTTGATCAAAATTTAAGTTTTTTTTTGGTAATTCGGAACATGCCCCGATCCGAACCCTTTGGACCCGAGCCGGCATACCAAATTGGAGGGAAGCCGATAGCTCCATACAGTTTTCCCGGGTGAGTCAGGATGTGCAGCGTAGCGGGTACAAATCGAACCCCAATCAGTGAAGAAGTCAACAACTCAAGACCGACCCCTCAACCGCTACGCCATATGCCCTGGGGGCAATTTAAATTTTGCTTACCTTACCTCGCAGTTATAGAATGCAAGAAAGCTCTAAATTACAGAACGTGAGGACCCTCTAAAGTACAACATGCAACCAAAAGCATCTTACAAATAATTTAAATTTGATCAGAATTTTGGGAATTTCTCATGCTTGGCAAAATTTTGCTTCTCCGTCGATTGAATTCTGAACCATTGGTTAACAAATAATAGAAACACACATGAAAATGCTGGATCTTTGGAGAAAGCAAGAAACTAGAGTAAACCCTTTGCTTTTTTATACTTTCTTGCAGCAACACAAAGCGAAGTTGAAAGAGATAAAATAGTAGTATTAAAAGTTAAAACAAACACGTACAGAGAGACATCCTCTGTTTTCTTGTTCACTTGTTTCTCCACAGTCGTCTAGGTGTTGTAGGAAGAAAACATTGTCAAACACTCAGATCACAACTCAAAGAAGCTTAACCATTTCAGGGGGTGGCCTATACTTTGCCAGCAGCGGTTGAGCTCTAGGCATAGTATGCCCAGCTCCTTCACTCATGTCCACCAATTCTTCCCCAGGTCTTTCCCACTCAAAGCATTGAATAAGTGAACCCAATGCCAACCCCACAACTCGTCGAGCAAAATTTTCTCCAGGACATCCTCTTCGGCCAAGCCCGAATGGCATAAACTCGAATCTCTATCTCTGATCTTCCAAGTTCATGAACCTTTCAGGTTTGAATTTTGTGGGTTCTTCCCATATTTCAGGATCATAATTAATAGCCCAAAGGTTCACTAGGAGCAATGTCCCACGAGGGATACCAAAGCCTTCAACTGTACATTCTTCGGATGATTCATGCAGGGAGATAAAAGGGGACACAGGATACATACGAAAGGTTTCGTTTATTATTGCTTGAAGGTAAGGAAGCTGGCCAAGGTCGGAGTCAGTTATCAGCCTTGATTGGCCTATTTGAAAGTCTATTTCTTCTTGTGCTTTCTTTAAAGCCTCTGGGTTGTTCCGCAGAACTGACAGTGCCCATTCCATAGTTCCAGATGTTGCGTCACTTCCCGCCGATAACATTATCAGCTATTAAGATTAGACGAAATTTGATTTATTATCTCTATCAATACCGGATAACACATGATACATGCTTTTGAGTTATCTTGACTGATTGTTAAAAGCTGAAAAAGCAGGGAAGTTAATGCTATGAACTTATGATCCTACCCTTCAAGTATGACAGCTAGCTAGCGCTTGAGGTGGATTCTCTTAGGTTGTTAATATACTTGATTTTATGGAATGTTGGCACTTTCGAGGGACCGATCTACTATTCTCCTTAAAACTTGACTCACCTGAACCAAGCCTCTGATGATTTGATCCGTATGGTACTCTGGTTCTGTCTCTGGGTGAGATAAGAGAACATCAATCAGTGTCTTGTTCTCACGATGACTGGTGATGCTTCCGTGCTTTTCAATCAAATCTTGTAGGAACTTTTCCCTCTTCATCTGCAACGTTTTCAGATGACTTTCAAGCTTATTTTGCCCTATCCACCTCAGTAGCGGAACAAAATCTGCAGCATTTGTTGATCCGCTGACTTTAACACTCTCTTTAACCATCTCTTGAAAGCTCGCGACTCCCCCTATTTTTCCTGAGCCATCACCAGAATACCGTTTTCCAGCAATCATCCTAATCATAATGTTCAGTGTGAGTTCGAAGAAGGCTGATTTCATATCGACCATGCCCTGGTCATCAGCACTAGCGGCAGCGGCCTTTAGAAGGGAAGGGATATTGGTTGGGCGTTTCTAGGGACGAAGTGCAACTGAGACGTCTCATATTCGAGTTTTCTTACGGAAAAAAATCGTCATATTTTGGATTTTTTCGGGTGTTTACTAGACACTCGTTAATACATTTAAAATTTATCTAATTTATTATATATATATATATACACACACATTTACTACAATTATTATCCTTCCTTGTACTTATATATGTTTGTCTATTTAATCTTTCCTGCCCCTCTTTATATTTATTTATTCTAATTAATCTTGTATTTTTTTATCTGAAATATGTCTTAAGAACGGTTGTCCAAATAGATAGACCTTTATATTTTTAGATACTCATTTTTTTTTATCTCTCATTGATTATCAACACTAAAGAAAACTTTCGGATCAAGAAGTTGCCAACTAAGATATTGCTTAGTGTGGACATTAGGAGAATGAATAAATATATGGTTTGAGTTGTTTTCAGTTAGGAGTTGCAAGGTATAATTATTGTGCTGTGAAAATTCCAACTTAAAACAAGGAAATTCAAAAATTAGCGTCATCAAATAGCAACTACTATAAAGTAAATTACTCCGTCATTTTTTCCCTTAAAGAAACAAGTGAAATATATAAAACAAGACTTTTTTTTTTTTACTAGTACATATTTTTTCTTCAAACAAGAAGAAGAGACGAGGCAAATACTGCCCACCCTTTCTCAAGAGTCAAGATACATCCTCGTCGCAGTCTAAATTTGAGAAAGAAGGCTCATGATTCCAGGTCGTGCTCGACAATTGGCGACTAAGTGTTGAGCCTTAGGCAGAGTCAGTCCAGGCCCCTCAGCCAAATCTACCATCTCCTCACTGATTCTGCTCCAATCAAAGCACTGAATAATTGATCCCAAAGCAAATCCAACCATGCGCATGGCCAATCCCTCCCCAGGACAACCTCTTCTACCAGAACCAAATGGCATTAATTTGTAGCCATCTCTGGTCCCTTCAAGCCCTTCAAATCTTTCAGGCTTGAATTTTCTTGGATCCTCCCAATTCTTGGAATCATTTTGGATAGCCCACAAATTGACAATCAACATTGTCCCCCCAGGCACACGGTAACCCCCAACCACACATTCCTCGGAGGATTCGTGGGGTAGCATTATAGGCCCTGCTGGAAACATCCTCAATGTTTCACTAATTATGCACCGGAGATAGGGTAGATTAGCCACATCTGATTCATCTAATAAACGTTCTTTTCCTATGATTCTGTCAATTTCTGCTTTTGCCTTCTCCAAAGTTGATGGATTGTTTAGCATTAGTGACAATGCCCACTCCATTGTTCCCACTGATGTATCGGTACCTGCTGCTAGTAAAACCTGCAATACGAAAGCGGTCAATGGTGAAATGCACTTGAGAAAAGAAGAAGAAAGTGGTAAACGGTAGAATGAAGAGCATGATCAGTGACATTTGCTTCTAAAATCTAGTCAACCAACTTTAGACATCGGTTGGCTAGACATCATACTTTCTTTCTGCTTCACTGTCAAATGCCAACACCGAAGAAAAGTGGGCCCCCCGCCCAATACGTTGGGATCTACTCCTGTTCACACCGTGCGGTCAACTCTATTCTTGAACTGTACCAGTGAATTTTTCTTATTCATCATAACTTTGCACAATAATGGAAGCAATCGAATTACTGTACGACAACTGAAGTAAGCTTATATTTTATACTCAAAGAAAGCAAATTTTGGCCATCTAGATTTAGTCACTTAATCTTCGAATTACTTTCAATTTCTATTAATTTGTCCTTAATCGAAGTTTGACATTTTCTAGGGAACATAGAAATGATAACAAATTAGCTACATTAATAAGAAGAAGAAGAGCCAGAAAGAAATTTATCAGAGTAACCATACCAGCATAAGGCTTCTAATGATTTCATCCTTGTAATACTCAGGCTCCTTCTGTTGCAGGGTCAACAAAACTTCAATCAACGTTTTCTTCTTTTCCCCTGTTTCCTCTGCATCGCCGCCACCATTTTCTGCATCTTTTGCACTCCTAAACCCCTTGATCAACTCCTGCACGAATTGATCCCTATTCTCCTGCAAAACCCTCAAGGCCTTCTCCTTCTTTCCCACTTTTAACCACCTCAAAACCGGCCAGAAATCTCCCATATTCGAAGCTCCACCAATTATCATCGTCTCCTCTACAATCTCCCTAAACCTCCTAGCCTCCTCAACTTCCCCAACATTCTCCCCATAATACCTCTTCCCAGCAATCATCCTCATCATCACGTTCAACATCAGCTCAAAGAAAAGGGCCCTCATATCCACGCTTTTCTTGTTTTCTGAAGCTGAAAACAGCCTTTTCAGCATCAATTTTACTTCATCAACACGTATCCCGTGAAGCGTTTGAAGCCTGTGGGAAGACAAGATCTCCAGTGAAGCTATCCGCCGTAGATTTCTCCAGTGATCCCCGTAGGACGTCCATGCCATTGAGGTATAATTGTATCCCAGATGTTTTCCAGCCAGCAGACGCGGGCGGTTGGCGAAAACGATGTCGTGCTTGTTGAGGCATTCTTCGGCTGCAGAAGCGGAGGAGACAAGGAGGACTGGGCGTGAGCCGAATTCCAGGAGGAGGACCGGGCCATGACGGTCGGAAATCTTGGCTAGGCCTCGGTGAAGAGGCTTCTTGATGAGGAGGAGGTGGCCGAGGACGGGGAGATTAAGGATGGGACTAGGTGGAAGGTTTCGGATTTTGTTGAGGAAGTGCTTGGTGAAGATGTATAATGCTAGGAAAAGTGGAAGGTAGAGATACAAGGTTTCCATAGATAGTTGCGGATTTCTTGCTGGTTTACTTGGGATTGAATGATGGATGGGGTTTATTTAATGAGAGTTAGTGGATTTATAATTGGACTTGTCTCTCAGTGGTCCTCATCTCGTTTTCTTGTAAGGTTGCAATCATGGTTCGAAGACTGGCCCAGACCGAGACGTCTCGGTCGAGTCGTCTCTGTCTCGGCCTAGCCCGAGACGAGACAGCGACGAAATATTTTTGAAATACGTGACAGATCGAGACGTCACCGTAAAAGATTGAAATGACTGAGTCACATCCAGTCACTTCGAATCATCCCGAATCAACTTGAATTTTTATTATTTTTACTAATTTTTAATTATTTTTATTTATCATATTTTTTTACAATTTTTAGAATATTAAATATTTCAAAAATTCGCGTCTCGTGGATTTATAGTTGGACTTGTCTCTCAGTGGTCCTCATCTCGTTTTCTTGTAAGGTTGCAATCATGGTTCGAATACTGGCCCAGACCGAGACGTCTCGGCCGAGTCGTCTCTGTCTCGGCCTAGCCCGAGACGAGACAGCGACGAAATATTTTCGAAATACGTGACAGATCGAAACGTCACTGTAAAGGGTTGAAACGATCGAGTCACATCCAGTCACTCCGAATCATCCCGAGTCAACTTGAATTTTTATTATTTTTACTAATTTTTTATTATTTTTATTTATCATATTTTTTACAATTTTTAGAATATTAAATATTTCAAAAATTCGCGTCTCGCCGAAACCGCGACTGATATGCCGAGACCGATGTGGAACGGTCCAAACCGCGATCGCGACTTTGAACCATAGTTGCAATTGATAGCCAGCCTATGAAACTTCCTATTAAAATGTGCAATTATAATCGTTGGCTAAATTCTATAGACAAAGATGACTTTTGAGTTTGGGAGAGTGAATTTGTTGTGAGTAGATTAAAACCATTACGAACTATACTATACATAATACAATCAGTGTGGCCCCGCCCCTCTTCTTCAAGAAAATTATGCTTCAAATCAGATTAAATAAGGTTAATGAGTTGAGATTTTTCTGTATTTTTTTAGTCAATATGATAGCTTCCTATATTATGAAGGAGGAGTAGGACCTGAAGAGGTCCAAGAATAATTCGGAGAAGACTGAATCACCATCAAATCAGACGAATGCACTAAGCACCTGCATGAATTTTTTAAATAATACTATATTTAATTGTAGCAAATTATTGGGAGGCAAGGCCCACCAAAGTTTTTTTCTGTTTTCTTGTACAAATCTTCTTGGGTTCGGGGCAGGGCGAGCGGTGCGTGGGTCGGAAAAGTGTAGGGTTGGAGGATTTTACATTTCAATAGTGGCACTAAGCCACTAGTTAGCTTACCTGTCATCTACCCTTTTTTTTTAAAAAAAAAAATATTGTACCTAGAGTTTGGAAGTGCGTGTTTTTTTCCAGCACAAAAGTTAAAATCGCCGGAGTAACAAAATCTTGCAGTTGAAAACTAGCAAATTTCTACAAATCTCGAGAAATTAAAGCACAGAATCAATGCACAAGTTCACGACAGCAAAGCAGAACCAAATAATGCCACATGAGGCACCAGAATAGGGGCCACCGGGCAAATGCGAAGTGTTTCATTAATAATTGCATGAAGATAAGGCAGCTGACCCAAGTCCGAGTCATTTGATAAGCCTTGATTGGCCAGCGTACGCGTCAATTTCTTGCTGGGCTTTCTTTAGAACTTGTGGATTGTTGAGCAGGAGGGAGAGTGCCCATTCCATTGTTCCAGATGATGTGTCGGTTCCTGCTGATAACATTTGCTGTTGACAAAATTTGCATTATTTTCTGCTAGTCTAAAGCATGGATTAAAGGTGAATACTGTGCTACTCATTCGTTTTATCTTTACTTCTTCCTTTTTTCCTGCACGTCATGATTCAATAGTACAATGGGATTGAATTTTTTATACTATTATCTTGATTCTGGAAATAAGATAGAAATACAAAGGAAGGGATAAGAGGAGGTGTATGATAACGTTAGAACATTTATCGTGACTCTTAGTATAAATAGTATTAGAGGTAGATAGAATTATGGGATAATTGTAGAAACTCCCCCCCCCCCCCCCCAAGTTTCTGACAATTTCACTGAAATTTTCAAAATATCGGAAACCACCCCTAAAGCTAATTATCTAGTAATAAATCAGCCCAATTCAAATACAAAAATAATATAAAATTGGTATTAGAAGAGAGAAAACAATTTAATTCCATAGCTACCCTCAAGTTTTGCATTAGATAGTTGATTTACTACGAACAATATATATCTATTTTAACTTTATCAAATGTGAAACGGTGTAATTGTTACCGTATTTATAGAGCGTAAACAAAATATCAGTTTACTAACTCCACAACAAGTTCAGCAACTCAAAATCTTATCTACATATTGCATATGTGATATCATACTATTACATCTGTTATAATACATCAATTGCATAATCTCCTCCAAGTAAAGCAAAGCATGTGAATCCTACTACAACCAACATTTCGATTTGAAAAAAAACCCATTTGTTGAATAATCACAAACAAGAAAAAAAAATTATCATAATTAAAAGGTTTTTCAATTTAGTAGTGTATAACCAACAATCTTTATGTATATTTCATACAACACCAGTACCTAATTTTGATGAAAATAAAAGTAACAATTAGGATAAAAAAGAAAAAACACTATAATTAAATACCAATCATCAAATGGAGCAGATCATATAGAACATAATACAAACTACATAACGTCATATTTTCTTTTTTTTTGTTTGATCCAAACTATTCTTTTTCACTTGCAGTGTCACTATTAAGCATGACCATCAAGAATTACCTTAACAACTGCAATCAAATAATAAAAATTTCCAAAATTTAATAGCAGAAAAATCTTAGAGGCTGATCTTGAAATTTTCACAATCACCAAAATTTTGAGAAAATTTTAAGAGCAAATCTCCTAAATCCTTAGATATACCTAAAGAAGCTCTATTTCTCTTATTCCACAAAAAACACTAAAGTTTGAATCATTGCTTCTACTCGCATACATCAATTATCAATCATAAAAAGGTGCCTATATATGGCCCCCTTTTTGTAATGGCATATTAGAAATTTTTTAAAAAAACTTATAAATTGTCATCATTTCTGTTAAATCTAGTTAATAACAGTTTAACTAATCATGTGAACATAATTGGGAAATACCTCTTAAGTTGTATGGGTAATTAAGTCATTTCTCCATGATTGAAGTGACAAATGGACCCCAATAACCTAATAGGGGAGGTTTCTGATATTTTAGAAACCTCGGAGGAGGGCAGTGAAACTGTTAGAAATTTCAGGGGAGGTTTCTGAAATTATGCCTAGAATTATTACGTGTAGGAAACATAGCATTACAGCTCAATAAAAAATGCAAGGCAACACGGAGATGGTACCAGTGCAATCAAACTAGCTTTGACTTAGATTTTCAGACTCAATCCTTCATGGGACTGATCCCGGACAAAGATCAGAATTTCCGTATGCTTAACAGACAGATGGATTAAGATATCGAGCGGATTAAATAGTTACTTACCACAATCATGCCTTTGACGATCTCATCTGTGTAGTATTCGGACTCGGTCTGTTGGAGGGACAAGAGAACGTCTATCATTGTTTTGTTGCCCTTCTCACTGTCAGAACTCCTCACGGTTCTTCTGTGTTCTTCAATCAAATCTTGCAAGAATTGATCCCTCTTCGCCTGCAAAGTCTTCAGCTTGGTTTCAAGCTTCTGCTGCCCAAAAAACTTCAATAATGGAATATAATCTGCTATGTTTGTCGCCCCACTGAGTTGAAAAGTCTCTTTAACTATCTCTTTGAACCTTGCGGCTTCCTCCTTGTTCTGGGCATCATCGCCGTAGTATCGCTTTCCTGCAATCGTCCTCATCATGATGTTAAGTTTCAGCCCAAAGAAGGCCGATTTCATCTCAACCGTGCTAGAGTCACTAGCTTTAGAGGCCTTTAGAAGGTACTTGATCAATGAATGGACCTCGTTAACACGGATGCTCGTGTAAGCTTGAATTCGGGTAGCAGATAAGATCTCCACAGTAGCTATTCTTCTCAAGTTGCGCCAGTGTTGGCCATATGAGACCCATCCCAGAGTTGTATAGTTGTAGCCAAGGTGTTTTCCGGCGAGAAATCTTGGCCGATTAGCGAAGATTATGTCATTCTTGGTGAAGCATTCTTCTGCAGCTGAGGGTGAAGATACAAGCAGGACAGGCCGAGAACCAAAATGAAGAAACTGTATTGGACCATATTTATCGGAGATCTTAGCTAGTCCTCGGTGGAGTGGTTTCTGGATGAGATGAAGATGGCCAATTATGGGTAAGGAAAGAGGTGGACTTGGTGGGAGATTCCGGAACTTTTTGATGATTTGATTGGTAAGTAAATACAGGAAGGGAAAAAGCAGGAGGTAGCAGTATGTAGCACCCATAGAGGTCGAGGTTAAATCCAAAGTGTTGGAATAATACTTATGCAGTATGGCTATTTACCTAGTAATTCATTATTGTTATTTCAAGAATGTATCAGTAATAAAGATTCAAAACGCCCTCTCATTCGTAAATATTTGTATCTTATCTGTCAATGATCTGCTACTGATATCCATCCTTTACTGCCTCCAGGCTTTGCTTATATTTTTCTCCTTTCTTCGGAGTAGCGTCGTATATAACGGCCTGTAGCTTTGACCAGCTTACATTACAGTGGAATCAGGACGGCACGGACTGTTTTCCTTGTACACTCGATTCCCCAGTGGTGCAGTGCCGGTGGCAAAGAACATTCCCAAAACACTAGGATCACAACTCAGAAAGAAGGCTAACTATTTCTGGGCGTGGCCTATACTTTGCCAGCAGCGGTTGAATTCTTGGCATAGTAAGCCCAGCAGCTTCGCTCATTTCCACCAATTCTTTCCCACGTCTTTCCCATTTAAAGCATTGAATGAGTGAGCCCAATGCCAACCTCACAACTTGTCTAGCTAAATTTTCACCAAGACGTGCTCTTTGACCACATACCCAAACGGCTTACAAACGTTTCAGGCTTAAATTTCGTGGATTCATCAAGATTTGTTTCGTGGTTACCAATTTTACATATCGGGCACTAAGATTGCATTTTTTTTTTCTTTTTTAAATATTTTCTTCGATAATATTGTGTAAAATCCACAACTATAGGACTAATATAAGAGATTACAAATATTTCGAACTACAACTAATCTACATACATATGGTGGGATAAATACTAACACAAAGTTTAGAGACTCACACTTTGATAAGTATTGAATTCAAGATTTCCAAATTCTAAAACCTCAACTTTGTAGATCAACGCCTCATCCACTTTTTTTTTATTATTATTATTAAATGTAGAAACAAGGGATAGCATGAAAATTTCTAATCTTTTGGTTTGCATATGGTTTCCATCCATGTAACAAATTAGTTCAAAACAGGTCCTCAGCACATTTTCGAACCACTGGGGGCAGCCTGACAAAGAGCTTTGACAACTACAAACGCTCAAAGGAGTTTACGGCAAACTTTTTTGCATTTACTTGTTATGATCGCATTCCTTATTTTTCCAAACTACTACTAGTATATAATCTTCTTTTACCTAAAATACATACATATATATATATATATGGTAATTCTTCAAATAAATTAAAACCATAACTTCTTCTTCTTTTCGTTCCCCTTTCGGCTGAATCATATGTTTCCTCCTTCGCTACTCCTGACTGCTATTTTATTATAATATCCTAAGCTCTCTAAAACTTTCCTCCTTTGCTGCAACAAAAAAACATCTCGTTCGGGACTTGAAAAACCAAAACACAATACAAGCATCCTTTGTTTCCTTAATTCATATTTTCTCTTGCGGACCAGGGGCCACAGGAGGATGACATTCTCAAACACATGGATAACAACTCCGAAATAGGGTTGAAAGATAAATCAAACTGCTTGATATTTGAATCGAGTTCAGTTTGGTTAGAGTTCATTCTAGTTTGATTTGCTAACTAGTCAAATTAAGAGTAAACATCGTTTTATATTTGATAACATTCAGATTCAATAAATAACTCGTTTAAATTTGATAAAATAATCAAACAAGGTTGGTTCGACAAATAAATAAGTCAAATTTAAATAAAATTACAAACTCATTAAAATAATCAAATAAACTTGAACACTAGGTATTTCGAACTTTGTATTGGAGGAGTACCTACACTTACTTATCCAATGTAATATTCTAAACAATTCCTTGCTGTTTCAGTGATATAGGTTCAAGGGATCGAGACGCCTTCAGCTTAGGCCATCTTATATCAGCTGCTATCCTGCAATCTAAATCTTGTGTTAAAATTTCTTATAAGATGCGATTGACAAAGATCCTTGTTTATCTATTGCTTTTTTTTTTGTTTTTTTTTTCCCGTTGCGGTCGTGACCTGTCAGATGGAACCGGTAGAGTGGTAGTACTGAACCAGATATGGCGGCTTTCAGCATTTTTTTATATGAAAATGGAGTTCCGCTCCGCAGACAAATATTTTTTTGACTTATCTTTGGTTGAAATTTGTAACACCTGTTTCCCACGGGAGTCGAATGGACTATGCGTACATGCGCACTGGACAAACTAAGGAGTAATTGACAGGTTGTCAAGTCTTTACAATAATAAAAATAGAATCTAACTATCACTGAAAACAGTCAATAATTAATTCTAGATGCTGGAGTAGGGACTCTAGGTGTGCAATGGATTACTTGATTCACCCTGTTCCCGAAAAGTTTACTCAATCCGATATACCAGAATTAATTAGTTGACAAAAATTACTAAATAGTAGACAGTGGCAAGCGGGGTCGTCTCCTCAGGAACTTGGAATATTTATCTCTTTGAAATTTCAATTGGTAAAGGGGGATTTTATCGGAATAAAACTAAAAACAATTCAACAATTCAACTAAAAATAAATAATTAACTAGCACAAATATAACCGGAATTAAATCAAGAATAGATAAATTCTAACCAAGGATACAACTATTCAGACACAATCCACTTACCCGATCATTGCTGCAAGAGAGGTTCACTTAATTTATTAATAGACTAGTTATAGTCGCCGACAAACTCTAACGACCAATTTTTTCTTAATTTATTGATAACTAAGGAACGACCATTGATTACCCCTAACCAGAAAATACTCCTAAGTACGACCGTAGGAATTAATTTTTCAATTGCATTAAGATCTAGAAAAACTTAACCCCAATCAGTAACATGCTACGAGGGTTATTTAAATTAGATTGCACGTTCCCCTAGTGTGTAAACACGCTAGTTGCCACTAATATTAATCGATCAAACAATTACAGATTTAATTGACTAATTTTGCAGGAGATTAATAAGTCATATTAAACATCGGGCTCTTGACATCCAAGTAACAAAATAATCCCATGGAAATTCAAATAGACAACGTGCAAATATTAACAAATTAAGAAACACATGAAAACTAATTAGATCTCACAAATATTAGGGACTGCGTCGTTGAATTGATCCTTGATTAGATGAAAAACTTAGCCACGTCGCATAAATAAATTTTCACGCAATTTAATTGATTGCAGAGGCATCTTTTTCGGATAGTCAAAGAGCACAAAAATTATGCTCCAGTCGAGATTAATGGAAAAGAACGAAGAAAGGAACAAAAAAGCAAGTCTCGGCTGTCTGGCACATCCGCCGAAAAGAACGAAGTAACTACTACCTAAAGTCCCTTCTTTTCTCCGTTTCCTATTACTAATAGGTAGAGCTGTTAACGAATCGAACTGTTTAGTAACTCGATTCGTTTCGATACGTTCGTGTTTGTAAAAGACTCGCTCGAAATCTTAAACGAACCGAGTTCGAACGAATGTTTTTGTTCGATTAATAATCGAGCGAACACGAGCATGTTCGCGAGTTTTAACGAACGTTCGCGAACATGGACATAATTATCATTTGACAAATTTTAGGGTTAATTTTATGGTTGGACTTTTATATTTGAGGGTTTTATTTGTTATTTTTATGTTAATATTAGTTATATAGTTAATGAATAATAGAATTTAGTCACTTAGTGCTTTAATTATTTTTTAGAATAATTAATGATTTGTATATTTAAGACTTAAAATAATTTGGATTCGATCATTTCGAACATGTTCGCGAACAGCTTGTTTATGTTAAACAAGCCGAACATGAACTCGAATTTAAACATGAATTTTGCTTAACGAGTCGAACACGAATACAGGTTTGGAGTTCGAAAATTAACAAACAAACACGAACGTTGTTCGAATCGCTTATCGAACAGAGCTCAAACATGAGATACTCGATTCGATTTGGCTCGTTTACAACTCTACTAATAGGATTCCTAGTGCAATTCAACTCCTCATCAGCAAAAAGATAGGAGATCCGTTTGTATCACCCCGGGGAGTCCAGCTTGTATTTTCTTTTAGAAACTTCCCACGTGTGGAGTATTTTTTTTAAGAAGATCCCTCTGTTTAGCACTTTTCAGTTTTTTTTTTTTCAACAGCCTGAATCAGACTTTTGTTGTTTTATAAACCTAATCCCAGAATTAACCTCAAAAGCCGGCAACTCTTGAGGCAATCCCAGGGACTTATATCCCAACCCAAACCCAACCCCAACCCCGATGTGGGACAAATGTACCTATAGGGGGGACCTGCTGCTAAGTGGGATACTACCACCCAATACCCTTTCAACCCAGCACTTTTCAGTTTCACTTCCTGTAAATAGGTCCAAATCCCAAATATAAGTATATATTAATCATTAAAACGATATTTGGCAAGGACAAATAGGAAAATTAACAATAAAATAACTAACAATTAACACCCTATCAGTAATTATTAGCAAAACATCACCATTGAACATAATTATCCGATTCAGAGCTAATGTTATTATCCGATTCAGAGCTAATGTTCAATTTAGCGGCTTTGAAACCTCAAAAACAAGATTTTGATGATGTTTGAAAAATTGTACAATAGGGGTGCTTATTTGCAGTGGGCAACCTCCTGTTCAAAGCAGATAAACTTGACCAAAATTTAAGTTTTGCTTACCTTACCTCGCAGTTATAGAATGCAAGAAAGCTCTAAATTACAGAACGCGAGGACCCTCTAAAGTACAACATGCAACCAAAAGCATCTTACAAATAATTTAAATTTGATCAGAATTTTGGGAATTTCTCATGCTTGGCAAAATTTTGCTTCTCCGTCGATTGAATTCTGAACCATTGGTTAACAAATAATAGATACACACATGAAAATGCTGGATCTTTGGAGAAAGCAAGAAATTAGAGTAAACCCTTTGCTTTTTTATACTTTCTTGCAGCAACACAAAGCGAAGTTAAAAGAGATAAAATAGTAGTATTAAAAGTTAAAACAAACACGTACAGAGAGACATCCTCTGTTTCCTTGTTCACTTGTTTCTCCACAGTCGTCTAGGTGTTGCAGAAGAAAACATTGTCAAACACTCAGATCACAACTCAAAGAAGCTTAACCATTTCAGGGCGTGGCCTATACTTTGCCAGCAGCGGTTGAGCTCTAGGCATAGTATGCCCAGCTCCTTCACTCATGTCCACCAATTCTTCTCCAGGTCTTTCCCACTCAAAGCATTGAATAAGTGAACCCAATGCCAACCCCACAACTCGTCGAGCAAAATTTTCGCCAGGACATCCTCTTCGGCCAAGCCCGAATGGCATAAACTCAAATCTCTCTCTCTGACCTTCCAAGTTCATGAACCTTTCAGGTTTGAATTTTGTGGGTTCTTCCCATATTTCAGGGTCATGATTAATAGCCCAAAGGTTCACTAAGAGCAATGTCCCACGAGGGATACCAAAGCCTTCAACTGTACATTCTTCGGATGATTCATGCAGGGAGATAAAAGGGGACACAGGATACATACGAAAGGTTTCGTTTATTATTGCTTGAAGGTAAGGAAGCTGGCCAAGGTCGGAGTCAGTTATCAGCCTTGATTGGCCTATTTGAACGTCTATTTCTTCTTGCGCTTTCTTTAAAGCCTCTGGGTTGTTCAGCAGAACTGACAGTGCCCATTCCATAGTTCCAGATGTTGTGTCACTTCCCGCCGATAACATTATCTGCATATTAAGATTAGACGAAATTTGATTTATTATCTCTATAGATATCGGATAAAAGGCAGTTTCAAATTCATTCACTTCTTTGATCATCACATGATACATGCTTTTGAGTTATCTTGACTGATTGTTAAAAGCTGAAAGAGCAGGGAAGTTAATGCCATGCCTATGAACTTATGATCCTACCCTGGAAGTATGATAGCTAGCTAGCGCTTGAGGTGGATTCTCTTAGGTTGTTCATATACTTGATTTTATGGAATGTTGGCACTTTCGAGGGACTGATCTACTATTCGCCTTAAAACCAGACTCACCTGAACCAAGCCTCTGATGATTTGATCCGTATAGTACTCTGGTTCGGTCTCTTGGAGAGATAAGAGAACATCAATCAGTGTCTTGTTCTCACGATGGCTGGCGATGCTTCTGTACTTTTCAATCAAATCTTGTAGGAACTTTTCCCTCTTCATCTGCAACGTTTTCAGATGACTTTCAAGCTTATTTTGCCCTATCCACCTCAGTAGTGGAACAAAATCCGCAGCATTTGTTGATCCGCTGACTTTAAGACTCTCTTTAACCATCTCTTGAAAGCTGGTGACTTCCTCTATTTTTCCTGAGCCATCACCAGAATATCGTTTTCCAGCAATCATCCTCATCATAATGTTCAGTGTGAGTTCGAAGAAGGCTGATTTCATATCGACCATAACATGGTCATCAGCACTAGCCGCAGCGGCCTTCAGAAGGCGCCGAATCAACAAGTGAACCTCCTCAGAACGTATGTGCGTAAACATCTGGACTCGACTACCTGATAATATATCAACGGTAGCGATTTTTCTTATATTGCGCCAGTGTTGACCGTACGAGGCCCAAACCAGAGTTGTATAGTTAAAGCCAAGGTATTTTCCCGCGAGGAACTTGGGCCGATTTGCGAAGACTATGTCATTCTTGGTGAAGCATTCCACTGCAGCAGAGGGTGAAGATATCAGGAGGACAGGGCGAGAGCCAAAATAAAGCAAGAGAACTCGGCCATATTTACTGGAGATCTGAGCTAATGTTCGATGGACTGGATTCTTGATGAGATGAAGATGCCCAATTACAGGTAAAGATGGAAAAGGACTCGGTGGGAGATTATTGAATCTTTTGATAATCTGATTGGTGAGTAAATACAGCAAGGGTATGAGCAGAAGGTAGTACGAAATCTCCATTGATGCTTTGGCCTTATGCTTTGGCCATCTTATATTATATCAGCTTTTTGTTCTGCATCTTGTATTTAACTTAAAAATTGTCAACGACATGCGACTAGAGTAGATGCTCGTTAAAAATTATTGTTTATTTCTTCTTCTTTTTTTTTTTTCCATCTGGCGGTTGTGGCTGGCGAGTTAGAATTTGAGAAGGTACGTAGTACCCAGACAGGTATGGCGGCTTTGAGTGCTTCATATGTTAAATGGAAGTCCGCAGACAAAGGTTAATCAATGTTAATCAGCATTGTTAATGTTTTCTCAGTATTTCTAGTGGGAATGCTGTATCATTTGCTGCAGTGGAAGTCCACAACAAAAATGATGCTATGATCCCTTCCCGGTGGCAAATGTATCATTTGCCGCAGCAGATACCATTTGTCTTTTAGTTTATTTACGAGCCTCGTAGTAGAATTTGCTTTCCCTTCCTCTCCAGGATCAGAAGCCGGGAGCAAATTGCGTGTCCTCCAATTTCCAAGCAAACGTGCGTGCAAACTTAGAGAGCAAGAAATACTACTCCATGCTCAGGCCAATTTCGCCAGTTTCATTAATCTCAAGTCCATATGTTGGACATATTTTTAAGAGCGCCTAGGCTAAAATCCTTCAAACATCAGCCAGAAATTTGTACTAGGAGATGGTTGGAAGATCCAATTTTATGGAAATTCAAGCGCAACACTCATTGGGATTTGGGCATGCCCAGAATAATTAGTTGTGCTATAAATATCCCTTTTCATTTGGCATTTCAAGGGGTAAAAGGAGACTGGCTTCAACGTGAACCAACGAAAATAGTTGCTCACAACAGCAAATTTCATGAAATATTTCAAACGAAAGGCAAGTTCTAAGGGATAATAACTTTCCTCACTTTATGGATGAGCCGTCGGCATATTGGACACACCCTGGTTTCCCCCTCCATGATCCTGCAAAATAGTGTATCCTTGAATTAACTCCAAATATTCAACATTTCATAAGCGACACACTGGTTTTTGTTCAACCAAATATTTACCTATTAGCACAATCTTGGCAAGTAGCACAGTGGCCGCAGGGAACAAAGAAGCAGTTTCGTGGCATGTCATAGCAGATGACACAAATCTTGCCATCATATAGGTCTTCTGAAGAGCTACCCCTGCTTGACTCCCTGTCTTCTTCATCAGTTCCGTATGGCAATCTGAAGACTTTCTCAGGCAGCAAAGGTTCAGTCTCAGCTGCAACTCTCGTTACAGGATGTTCTGGTTCATGGTTCTCCTCATTACATGCTCCCAGTAATTTGAACAGCAGAAAGAAGACAATAACAATAACACCTGGAAGATTTCATTGGTAAGGCTACAATTAGTACCCCTCCAAATAAATCCACGCAGACCATTTCCAGGTGCCCAATATAGCAAAATCCGAATGTAAAATTTGTAAAACTTGAGAGTTGAGATGCACTCACAAAATGTCAATTGTTCTAATACCAAAAATACATGAATTCAGGAGCTTAGTCAATATGGAGTTACCTAAAATACAAATGTAGGCAAGAAGACGAGCAACGAATGAAAGCTCAACATGCCATTGGCCAAGATCTCCCTGCATTAATCCAATAAACTAGTCAAAACTTTAGTTTCAGTAGGATTTGTTAAACACAGACATAGCAACGCCATGGAAGGGATTTCTCACATTGTTTGGAGTAGTCACTACTACATATTGGGTAATTGGGAAAAGAAGATTGAGATGGCATGTCCCGCTTCCAGTTGAACACATGCTCTTTGCTTTTGTGCTGTCGTACATTTTGGAAGAAACATTCACATGCATTACCACCATGATGCTTCTAGGATTCAAATTAGTGATGCCGATGCAGTACCTATCATCGTCTTCAATGACATATTCAGCTGCTTTACCTGAACTTAATCACAAGTATAAAAAACAAATGTCAAACCAAATGTACTTCACACCTGAACACTACCTATTACATGTTCTTTCATTGAATATTTTTGTTAGGAGTACAAAATCAGAGAAGTTATTACCAGCTGTATCATAATTAAAGAGGTCAGCACCTAGAGAATTTGGTGGCAGAAGGGTCTCATAATTCCGCACCCCTGTTTTAGACATTAGTTTAAATATATTAAATTGAGCAGGGATGGGGGATTGCTATTACTCTCAGAATCAGAACAAACTGCAGTATGTCTACCTTTACTTACTGATACATCAAGTTGATTCAAACTAGTTTTCTCTGCTTCCAGTCCAAGCTGAATTCTTGAACCTTTATTCAACCACAGCGAGAATCCCTGACAGAATATTCCACAAGATAAAATCTCTTTCCATAAATATGGGTGGAAGTTCAGGTTCTGAAGTGTTGTTACCTTATGACTGAAGGATCCAACAATCATATAATTTGACACACTCCAACTCTCTTCCAGGCTCAGCTCAGGCTTCTGCGAAAACCCGTAAAGAACGACTCCTTTCCTATCAGTATCTGTGACGTGAACTTGCTTCACAAACACAGAATTGGCCTCAAATAATCGCGACGAGCTAGGTCCAAGCAGCATGTCACAATCCCCATAATAACCATACCTCATGCTAATTGCTACTGCAAAATAAATAAACAAATACATCATTCAATAGAAGAAAAAATATGCAATTCTCGAGAACAAAGCCTTATTAGGAAAAAAAAAAAAAGAACAGGGATAATGTTACATGCCACAAAGGCAAATTGATAAAGGAGCAAGGAGACAAACACGAGTCTCTTGGCACCGCTGAGAATACTGATGACGAGGATGATGATTGCTTTGTGCTGCAAGAACTGATCTGTGCATTTTTTTTTCCCAATTTGGTTATTAAGATTGTAGAAAACTGTAACAGTTGGTGATATTGACAATGCGGAAGAAATGGAGTTTGTCTAAGGCTGAGAGGAGAGGAGACCAGTCGCTATGGAGGAGACCAGTTGCTGTATTACTTGCTACTCTACTAATCCTTCTGTGCTTATTTGAGGCGGTAATGATATTGACACTACCTATTTTTGAATGTTAGGTGGCAGTGCTTATTACGACTTTGTCATTGCTATAGCCTTCCAGCTACTAACTTATTTCCTTTTTTTTTTTTCCCACACAGGGGGTATCCGGACTTGAGATGTTCTTGAACTTCTTGCTGTCTTTTTCGTGTCTTATTTGGTCCGACTTCTGCCCTTAGGCTTTGGGTCAGGCTCTCAACCTGGAAGTGGATCATCATATTCATCAGGAAGGACAGCAAAACAGGAGAGAGTCTAAAGTGGGCTAACACTAGTATACAATTGGGGCTGGGCTGCATTAAACCCAAACACTAGTATACACTAGTCACGAAATTTTGTGTACTGCTCGTTACTATGCCTCATAAGTCTTTTTGCTCACGAAATAACAGAAAACAGTGGGCGGAACTAAGAAAGATTACTCAAATGATTGTCTGAATAAATAGTAAAAACAATTCACAGTGAAAATTCAATTATAACGTTTTAGAAGTGGAAATTGATAAGTAAAAATAATTAACGTTGTTACCGATTCCAAAAATGAATAGTACCTATTATAATCATTTAAAACTTTAATTATGTTTACATTTACTTCTTTTTTTTTTTTGTATTATTAGAGACTCTAGAATTGAAGAAAAGAGAAAATACATAGGATTTAGAATCAAACCTCACGATCAACTAATTAATGTTTTACTCCAGACATCATCACATTCACATTTTTGGATTCGGAACAGGTATAGTTAAGATTTACTAGAGTTGTGCAGTTATACTAATATTATTTTGGTGTATGTAAATTTTATTCATGCTAACATGTCTATAGCTATACACTCACTTTAAATATATATATATATATAACAATCGCGCTAATTAGGGATTTGGCCCGTGGGGGGCTCTCAGGGCGGGGGCGGGGGGGAATTTTTTCCCCTCATTTAGAAACGGGGCGGGGGGCCCCCGCCCCGCCACCGGCAAAAAAAAATTATATATATATAATTATATATAATATGTAATTTAATTAGTTATAAACTTATGATAATGATATTATTAGTTAGATGTATTATATAATGTATATTAGTGTATGTAATATAATTGATATTATCAATTATACGAATAATTAGACATGTCTACTAATAGAATTTATTAATTAGTTATACTAAATTTACTAATACATTTATACTAAATTTCTAATTACACTTAATAGAATAACACTTTTTTTTCAAAAAAAAAAGCACAAACACAATAATGAATTAGTGATTGTATTTGTACCAAAAGTGAAAACTTAACTATTTTAGTTGTATTTATTTCATCATGTTGGATTGTATTCAAATAACTTTTGTTTGATTGTTTTTATGAGTTTCAATTGTAAAATTAAAATGAATAATAACTTGATGATGTGTTGATATTTTAATACTTGATTATTTATTAAAATTTAACTATAATAAAATTTTATTAATCCCACGAAAAAAATTTTATTAACCCCGCGGGTGCCCCCGCGAGGGAAGCGGGGCATGGCGGGGGCGGGGGCTGGGCCTGGGGGAGTGGGAGGCGGGGGACGGGACAGGGGCGGAGGGAGTTTGTAGGCAACGGGGCGGGGGGAGGGGTCCCCCGCCCCAACCCCACCCCGTTGTCATCCCTAGCGCTAATTGTAGACAACTAGCCTCTCCCAAACCCCACAATTTTCATACTCCTTCCGTCCTAAATGTTAGAGTCATTTTTGGGCATCCAACTTTTTTACGGAGACATAATAATCATTACATTTAGATGATGCAGTACGATACTGGTGAGTTTATATATGTATTATTTGAACTCAAAATACTCCCTTATTAAATGTGCATTGAAATTTTAAAAAATTACTTTCTCAAATGACAGAGATTGAAAAGCATGTATGTACTATTAATTTTGGAATGGTGATTCTTGTTTTAGGAAATCAATAAAATAAAAATATGATAAGTATTATTAATGGAGTGGAGGGTTGACTGTATTAACAATAATACCAGTATGCTGCACACGGCCTGCTGAGCTGAGGCGTGGATTGGGACATTTTGGGAGGGAATGGGTGAAAAATGCAGAGGTTTGTGGTATATCGTGGAAGCGAGAGCGGAGTTCCAGGTTTGAAGAAAACGAGGAAACGGAGAAGACGCGTCCAAAATCCGACCGAAACTTTTTCTCTGTTTGCGGACTTCGGCGGCTACCTCCTCCCCCATTCTTAAGCAAGACGCAGGTGATCGGTTGCGTAGGCATCCACCTCGTTATCTTCGCCTTTCCAAACAAACCGACAAATCCCAAACTCAAAAACTCCATTTTGCAATTAATCTGGATTGCTCTCCACCTGGAGCCTCGCTCGCCCTCCCGCATGTTTTGTTATCTACCAAAATACCCTTTTCTAGAAAAATTTTTCCGATCCCCTGAATTATGACTTTTAAAAAAAAAAAAAAAATTAATAGGGTTCTTCTATTTGTGCAAAAAAAACATTCGGAGCATACTATAAAATGTAGAGAAGTGGTTATTCCTTATTGTAAAATTTTCAAAATTTTTTTTTATCTTAAGTGTATGCAGCGAGGGAAATAAATGTTAACGTTTTATAATAAACTCGTCATCCATTTTTCTATATATTTATTCTATACATTTGCAATACATAATGGACAAAAAAAAAATTCTCAATTTACTCTTTTTCACGAAACACATATTATAGGCTCTTCATTTTTAAAGTAATTTTGTGAGTTTGTTTATGTGTTTTCACAAAAAAATAATAAAAACGAGATAGAGTACTATTAATTATCCTTTTACTTATTAAAAATTGAATTATTTTTTATACACTAATAGTGTAATAATTTTTTTCATTAGTAATTTTGGATGTATGCCATATACGTATGATATGAATTCATATTATGTGGCATAATATAAATCTATTAGTATGAAAAAAATAATACACTGACAGTGTATAGGAAGTTATCGTTAAAAATTTTCATTGCTCAATCTAATATTGATTACTTTTAATAACATTTGTGCATTCTAAACTAATTTAAAATTAAAAACACATTAGTTTCAGAGACCTAGTGGCAGAATTTCTAATTATTATCAACTTCGTGCTTGATATTAGCCTCTTGTACCGTTGTAACATGGTAATTATGGACACGAAGTTCAACTCTAGATGCTTTAAATATATATATATATATATAAGTTCAACTTTAGAAAAAGAATTTCTGGTAAATTTACGTAAAAGAGCAATTTTTGACGTGCATCGGAGTTGTGTTGCTCTTTATAAGGGATCATGTGAAGTGTTTAACGAAGCAAACCCCATACAAAGACGTGACGTACCTGCAGACTTTTAGCTTTGAATGCTAGGCCTATTGGGATTGTCATTTTTTTTTTCAAAAACTTTATATATTTTTTATAAATATATTTTTTAATTAGTTTTTTGTTTTATATATATCAAATCGCTATACTATTTTTTTTTATAAAAATTTCAAAAAATAGCAATATAAAATGGCTCTAAATTTTCCTATTTACTAGCATCTTGTGGGCTGTAGCTAGTGAATCGCTCAGCTGGCCTTAGGGGGCGTTTGGTAAAAGGGTATCGGAATGAGGGAATGGAATGAACTCCATAATTGGTGTTTGGTTCACTGGAATGGGAATTGAAATCTTGGAATGATTTCTAAAAAATTTGGTGTCTCTCCATTCCTTAGTAGAAGGGTGGGTTTTGTCCAAAACCCAAGTGTGATTCCAAGATTTCTTTACCGATTACATATTATTTAGTATAATTAATATTTATATATTATATATTATAATATATACATATTTAATATTTTATTATTATAATATTTTATTATAATACTAGTATATTATATAAATATATATTATAATTATTTAGTTAAATATAATTATATTTATATAATATATAATATAAATTTATTAATATTATATAATAATATATTTATAATATATATGTATATTTATAAATGCTTATTATATTGGCATATAATTATAATATATACATGTATATAATATTAATAAATTATATAATTATAATTGTATTTATTATTTTAAATATAATATTATATAATAATAACTATATCTAATATTAATATGCATTATATTTATATAAAATATTAGTACAATTAATATTTATATATTATATAATTATAATTATATATTTATATTATAACATTTGTATAATTATAATTAATTATATATTTAATATTTAATTTAATTAGTTACAAACTTATAATAATGATGTTATTATATTATATAATTATATATTATAATTATTTAGTTAAATATAATAATACTTATATAATATATATTATAAATTTATTAATATTATATAATATTATATTTATAATATATATGGATATTTATAAATGTATATTATATGTGCATATAATTATAATATATACATGTATGTAATATTAATAAGTTATATAATTATAATTATTATTTTAAATATAATAATATATAACAATAACTATATTTAATATGTAATATATATTATATTTATATAAAATATTAGTATAATTAATATTTGTATATATTATATAATTATATATTTATATTTATATTATAACATTTGTATATTTATATTTAATTATATATATAATATTTAATTTAATTAGTTACAAACTTATAATAATAATAATATTATTTATATGTATTATATAATGTATATTAATTTATGTAATATAATTAATATTATCAATTATACTAATAATTATACATGTTTACCAATAGAAATTATTAATTAGTTAGACTAAATTTACTAATACATTTATACTAATATATTTAATTAGTGAAAATTTCTTATATCCCATTTACAAAGAGCCAATAACTATCATTTACGATGGGGTTTATAATATATTTATTATATTCCATTCCGAAAGAATCGACGAACCAAACATCAACTATAGTAATGATACACATTCCAGGTACTTGAACCAAACAAATGTATTGGAATGAATGACCTCATTCCAAACCTAGGATATCCGATT